AAAAATCCCACCAAGCTCTCCGATTGATATAAGCACCAGACTCTTGTTGTCAAGGAGCAAACAGATCGTGGACTAAATTGATGTCTTTTGTATTTAGGTGCAATTCTTAAAAGAGAAAATTCCTAATACTCGCCGTGAAATTCGAGTTCAGAAACTTTCTTCATGGTAGTCACATCGCTCAAGGGAGAAAACCTGTTTTTGTAATGACTACCAAGCGCTATCAAGAATTTTCGATCAATTTTTCCGTTGAAGACTCCAGAATTATTTCTGAAAAAAGACACAGTATTACACCCTTTTATTTGTTAAAGTTTTTTTTATACCAGTTGAGACCAAAGTAACTTGGCATTGTGGTAAGGTATATTTGCTTTTCTTTTTCCTTTTCAAAACATCTACGTGAGATTATAATTATTTAATCATTAAATGGAATCAAATAAAAAGGCTGTTAAACGAATGGGGAAATGAAGAAAGAAATGTTAAGTAGCTAAATAATACTTATGAAGGTAGGGTGAGAAAAAAATCATAGATAACGTGTAAAATTTAAAGATAATACTTGTGTACACCGGCAACTCTGAAATCCAGAGTTTAAAAGTTTTCGTACTTTTCTTTGGAGACGTTCTTCCTAAACCGTAGAATGTATTTTTCGTGACTCGCAGAACGTTTGTCGGCTTGAAGCTTGCATTTACGGCACCAGTTTCCAACGTGGTCAAACATCGTTCAGGGATAAGTACTTTTGCTAATTCAAAGCTGTGTCCCCAAGACGAAAGACAGGTGTAATATCTTTCCCTCTGTTTGTTTATCTCATTATTATTATTACCACTTATTAATTTTTTTAATTATATGATTTCTGCATTTCGGTTGGGGTCAGTTGCATACCAGTGTACTCTAAGGTATCTTTAAATTGCCGCCCATAAGTAATTAAGCTTGAACAATGAGAGTTAGTGTCAAAATGTTTCTATCGACGTCTCTCTCTCTTTTTCCCCACTGATTGTAGCTAAAGTTTTAAAAATAAGATCCGCAGTTTGAATCAACACCTTTCACTATTTACAACTTTTACGGTCCCTTTTATTGAGGAAATAATCTCACCGATTGATGTAAGCGCCAGTCCTGTTGTCAAGGATCAAACAGACCGTGGACTAAATTGATATCTTCTCGAGCTGCAATGCTAAAAGAGAAAATTCCAAATACTCGAGAAAAACCCTCGCTCAGTTAACAAGTAGATTTAGCTCTGACAGTCTTAAGTCTTCTTTTAGCATTAATTTTAAAACAGCATCAAACAATCCGAGTGCATGGAGCTCAGAAAACCTCTTCATCAGTAGTCGCATCGCACCAGGGAGACCACCTGTTTTTTGTAAGGACTACCAAGCGCCATCAAGAGTTTTCGACCAATTTTTCCATTGAAGACTCTAGAATTATTTCTGAAAAAGTCACAGTATTACACCCTTTTATTTGTTGAAGCGTTTTATAATAATTGAATCAA